AAAATCAGGGGTGCCTGGGTGGCTCAGTTGTTAAGTGTCTGCCTTAGGCTCAGATCATGATCCCAGGGTCCTGGGATCGAGCCCCGTATCAGGCTCCCCACTCCACAGGAAGCCTGCCTCTCCCCCTCCCACTCTCCCTGCTTGTGTTCCCTCTCTCACTGTGTCTTTCTCTGTCAAATAAATAAACAAAATCTTTAAATAAATAAGTAAATAATCAATAACCTACCTATACACCATTTAATACTAGAAAATGAGAAGCAAACTAAGCTCAAGGGAGCAAAAGGAAGGATTTAATAAAGATCAGAATAAAAACAAATGAAACTTGAGAATAGAAAAACATCAGAGAAAAATCAATGAACCCAAAAGTTGGTTCTTGCAAAGATCAACAACACTGACAAACCTTTACCTAGATTAAGAAAAAAAAAAGAAAACTCAAATTAGTAAACTCGGAAATGAAACTTAATACATCACTACCAATCTTACAGAAATAAAGGATTATGAAAATACTATAAACAACTGTATGCCAACAAATTAGATAAACTAGATGAACAAATTCCTAGAAACACAGAAATTCCCAAAACTGACTCAAGTAGAAATGGAAAATCTAAACCAACTTACGACAAGTAATTGAATCAGTATTCAAAAACCTCGCTACAGGGCGCCTGGGTGGCTCAGATGGTTAAGCGTCTGCCTTCGGCTCAGGTCATGATCTCAGGGTCCTGGGATCGAGTCCCGCATCAGGCTCCCTACTGCTTGGGAGCCTGCTTCTCCCTCTGCCTTTCTCTCTCGCTCTGTCTCTCATGAATTAAAAAAAAAAATCTTTGGGCGCCTGGGTGGCTCAGATGGTTAAGCGTCTGCCTTCGGCTCAGGTCATGATCCCAGGGTCCTGGGATCGAGTCCCGCATCGGGCTCCCTGCTCCTTGGGAGCCTGCTTCTCCCTCTGCTTCTCTCTCTCTCTGTCTCTCATGAATAAATAGATAAAATCTTTAAAAAAAAAAAAAAATCTTAAAAAAAAAACAAACCTCGCTACTACAAAGAAAAGCCCAAAAACAGGTTTCACTGGTGAATTCCTCTAATCATTTAAAGAATCAACACCAATTCTTCCCAAACTTTCAAAAATGTAAAAGAGAAGGGAACACTTCCTAACTCATTCTATGAGATTAGCATTATCCTGATGCCAAAGCCAGACAAATCCATCCTAAGATAAATTTATTTCTCACAAAGGCATCAGTTTGCAATTCTAAAGTCCTTCACATGCATATAACTAAGGTTGAGGTTAATATGTTGTAGATGGTGAGGGCCAGGCCGGGTTTCTTACCGTCAAAGAAAAAAGTTACAAGTAAGCACAAAAGGAATACTAGAATGAGCTCTATGATGCTGATAGGAACTGAAGATATCCGTAAAAACTCACGGTTGTGTATTTTAATATACAGCAACAGATACACATATATTTTCTACTTCTATCTGCTGAGAGGGCCTAGAAGCACTAACACCCCAATAGAAATGAGCATATCAAGCATCCAAATTTTGGAGTCTAAGTATCATTCTTCGATAAGAGGAACTAGAGTTCCTTAGAAAAGTAGTTGACTCCAAGGCTGGGCAGGAAAAACACAAGATGAACCTGGAACCTCTTCTGGAGTCAGATAATACATAAGTGTTTTAAATGAAAGAAAAGACACAGAAGCCAACCCAACAGAGCTATTAATGGCCAAAGCTAGAAAAATATGAGCAATAATGTAAACAATAATAGTATTGGATATTCTTGAGTCCAAATTAATAATAATAAATTTTAAAATGAGGGAGAAATGATTCTTCCTTACAGAAGAATTCCAATTATTAAATGTAAAAAAAAATAATCAGTGGAACACCAAAGTAATAATTTGATGCAAGCAAAATCCACTAATGAATGAAAAATTTAGTGGACAAATGCTTAAAGAGAAACAGCATATTTGCATAGACTCAAAGAATCTTCCCAAAATATTTATTAACTACACAAAGGGGAAAAAATGTTAAGGTGCAGTTTACACCTTGAAAACCTAGCAGACACTATCTTAATCAAATGATAAAGGTTAACTCCACCAGTAACAGGACATAATGATATCATGTATCCCTTAATAGGACCTGCTGAAAAGGTCACATCACTTCTATGGTAGCCCAAAATCCATAACTTCAATCTAACCATGAGAAAACATCAGACAAAATATCTGACCAGTACTCTTCAAAGGTGTTGAGGTTATGAAAAGCAAGGACAGACTGAAGAACTGTGGCAGACAACAAAAAACTGAAGAGATATAACAACTAAATGTGATGTGGGACCCAAAACTGCATTCTGAAAGAAAAAGGATATTAGTGGGAAAACTGATGAAACTCAAATAGTTTCCAGTTTAATTAATAGCACTGCATCTATGTTAATTTCTTTTTGATTATTTTTGACAATTGTTTTGATAATTGTTCTATAGCTAAGTAAGGTCTTACTTAACATTAGGGAAAGTTAGGTGAAAAATATACAGAAATTCTACTATCTTTGTAACTCTTCTGTATATCCAGAATTATTTCAAAACAAAAAGTTTATGCCTATAAGACTTTAATGACAGAGCAAGAGTCTTATATTTTAAAAAATAAAAACAGGATAAAAAAACAGAAAGTAGAGAATGATTTCAACCATGTTTTTGAAAAAATAAGATGACTTAGGGGAAAAAAAAAGAGAGAAAGCAAGCAAATACTCCAAAGCATTAACGATGATTTGTCTGGATTCTGGAATTATAGATAGTTGTTTCTCTTCATATTTTTGGTATTTTCTAAAAGTTTCTATAATAAGCATGGATTACTTTTATGATCAATGATATAAAACCACTTTAAAAAAAAGAATTATAGCTCTTGTACCAATATGATAGATAAATTAAGAAATGGCTTAGGCTGGCAAGTATTAAATCATTTTGGTTGCTAAAGGGTGAAATATTGATAATCTAAATGGAATCAGACATACAAATGGATACAGTGAGTTAGAGAAAGAAGAGTTTTTCAGCCTAAGCCATTGGATAGCTAACGGTTAGAGGTTAACAGAGAGCATAATAAATTCCACTGTGAACAAATCGAGCTTAAAGTACCTGTGGATCATCTAAGAGAATATATCCAACAGACAATTGCATACAGAGGATGTAAACTCAGAATGGAGACTAGGGCTAGAGACAAAGAATATAAAAAGGTGTTTGAGGCACCTGGGTGGCTCAGTCGGTTAAACGTCCAACTCTTGATTTTGGCTCAATTCAAGATCTCAGGGTTGTGAGACAGAGCCCTGCATCCAGCCCTGTGCTGGGTGTGAAGCCTGCTCACGATTCTCTCTCTTCCTCTCCGTCTGCCCCTCCCCCCCAGCTCACAAGTTCTCTCTCTAAACAAAACAAAACAAAAAAACAAGAATATAAAGATGTCAAACTACAGGTATTTAATGAAACCACAGAGATGGTTTACTTCTCCTACCATTATAACACAAAGCAATAAAAGAAAGCCAAGGACAAAATCAGAGAGAATTCATCAGGCAAAGAATGAGCCAAACAACTAAAGAGGAAATTAAAAACTGTCAAAGGACTGGGAGAAAACACTAGAAGAGACTGGTGTATCTGGTAAGGGGTTAATATCCAAAATATATAAATAACTTATACAATTAAACACCAGAAAGCAAATAATCTGATTTAAAATGGGCAAAGGATCCGAACAGACATTTTTCAAAAGAAGACATACTGATAGCCAACAGACACATGAAAAGATGTTCAACATCAATCATCAAGGAAATGCAAATCAAAACCACAATGATATCACCTAACACCTGTCAGAATAGCTAGAACAAAAAAGACAAGAAATAACAAGTGTTGGCAAGGATATGGAGAAAGAACCCCTTGTGCACAGCTGATGGGAATATAAATTGGTACAGCCACAGTGGAAAACAGTATGGAGGTTACCCAAAAAATTATAAATAGAATTACCATATGATCCAAAATTCCACTACTGGGTATTTACCCAAAGAAAACAAAAAGATATATGTACCACTGTTTATTGCAGCATTATTTATAATAACCATGATATGAAAGCAGCCCAAGTGTCCACTAATAGATGAACGGATAAAGAAGATGTAGTACATATGTACAATGGAATATTACTCAGCCATAAAAACGAATGAAACATTGCCACGTGTGACAACTCAGATGGACCTAGAGAGTATCATGCTACATGAAATAAGGCAGACAGAGACAAAGATTACCATATGATTTCACTTATATGTGTAATCAAAAAACAAAACTAATGAGTAAACAAACAAACAAAGAGAATCAGAACTATATATACAGAGAACTGATGGTTACCAGAAGGGAGAGGGATGGGAAATGGGCAAAATGGGTGAAAGGGAGTGAGAGACATAGGCTTCCAGTTACCGAATGAATGTCATAAGAATAAAAGGTAAAATATAGGGAATAGAGTCAAGTGTACTATAATAGTGTTGTATGGTAATAGATGAGAGCTACACTTGTTGAATCACTATGTTGCACACCTGAAACTACCATGTATGTCAACTATATTCAAAAAAATAATAATTTAAAAAATAACTAATCAAAATCTATGGAATGTAGCTGAAGAAGTACTTAGATGAAAATTTCTGATTAAAGACTTACAGAAGACCGAATATTGATGAGTTAACAGTCTAAGTTAGAAAAAGAACGGGGGTAAAAAAAAAAACAGTAGTAGTAGATTATTGAACAAGAAAACAAATATATAATACAGAGGATTCATGAAGCTAAAACCTTTGTCTTCAAAAAGACAAAAAATTGGCAAACCCCTGATGAAACTGATCAAGGAAAAACAATCAAATGCATAAATATATTAGGAATGAAAAGGGGGATTAATTATAGAAACAGCAGAGCTTTAGGTAAATTTTAGCGCAATGCTGAACAGAAATGGATTATTATAGACGGTTACATATTTGGTCACCACAGCCATTCATTTTTACTTACCGCCAACAGAAGACACATTTATTTGCACAAGCCAAGCTTGGGGTAGTTTCCATGCAACGATGGCTTTCAATGCCATAGAATGTATGTTTATAGCAACCTCCTCTCCCTCGGAGCATCGACTGTGAAAGTAAAAAAACAAATGATAATCTGAATAAAATCCTCAAGGCAAGGAAACAAAATACCAAGACATCATTTTTAAGAAAAAAATGTGCATTTCAAACCATAAATACCCCTACTGATATCTGCATGATACAGAAAATTAACACTATACTGTTTTGATGGTGCTTTGGGTTTTAATGGTGCTTTAAGTTTTCTAAAACCCAATGAAATAAACCTATGATTCATTAACTCTGAAAGCTCTATAGAGAAGACCACTGATGCTTTCATTTTCAAATCCATTCAACTGCCTCAAATAATACTAGTACAATAATATATAATACCAAGGGATAGGTAAGATAAGCTCCAAGAAGAGGGGAGCAGCACTCATATGAAAGGGTATCTCTGTTTTGAATAAGGGAGGGTGGGTAAGGGAATGCATCCTGGAGCATATTCTATGTCAACTGAAGGGCAGAACTTGAACACACTGAGAATGTTAAGGGGACAAGCAGCATGAATGTAAGAAACAGATTTTTCCCAAAAAGGACACTATTTAATATGTGAGTGGTAAAACCACGGTGAGTGAGGTAAGAATGAATAATATGAAGAGACAGTGCAGATCAACTTAGGGTTGGAATCACAAGATATTATCAAGCTTTTTGAGGTCTCATCAGAAAGATCCATCTAGAAACTCTGCAAGACAGGCTTGATTTCAGTAAGAGTGAAATCTGGGGGGAAGTTATGCAAATAAGGTCATGGTGACTTGGCTCATATTAATGGAGAAAAGGGGAAGGGTACTAAGGAAGTACACTCAAAGGCATTCCCACTGGAGGGACAAAAGAGAGTCATCCAAGATAACTGAGATGTTGACTCATCTCTGCTGCGACTGAAATATGATGGAATTAACAGGAACAAACAAGGAGACACAAGGAGCCCGTGTGTGTGTGTGTGTAATTGTGTGTAATATATATCAGTGTGCTAACATTATAAAGCACAATGAACAGGGCGCCTGGGTGGCTCAGTTGGTTAAGCAACTGCCTTCGGCTCAGGTCATGATCCTGGAGTCCCTGGATCGGGTCCCGCATCGGGCTCCCTGCTCGGCAGGGAGTCTGCTTCTCCCTCTGACCCTCCCCCCTCTCATGTGCTTGCTCTCTCTCATTCTCTCTCTCTCAAATAAATAAATAAAATCTTTTAAAATAAATAAATAAATAAATAGATAAATAGATAGATAGATAAATAAAATGGAGCACAATGAACGAAAATTACAAAAAAATCTATCAGCTGATTACTCTGTCGGTTGATCACAAAGTCTTATTTTTTGCCCTGATAAAAAAGGTTCCCTTGTCCATCTCACCTGGTACTTGCATTAAGAAAAATAAGGAGGGAAGAAAAAATATTGTTCAAGGTAACTACAAATTCTCTTTCAAGTTCCCAATAAAATATCCAAAAGGCAAACAAAATATTCAAATCTTGCAAACAGCACTGAAAACTAAAAATAAAAGCCCTCTAAATGCCAAAGTCACAGGGAACCTGCCACTAAATATCATGCCAATGGAGAAATAAAGTTGAAGACCTGAACATTTCATTATTTACTGAAAAGGTAATATACCTCAAGCACGCTGTATGTTGAATGTCCAAGAATGAGTAAGACAGAGCTTCCAACCATGATCTAGTATGAGGAAATGGCAAGTAAACAGGCAAAATATGCAATACTATTATGATAGAGTATTTGAATCAATCAAGATTCTTTTGTAAGCAACAGAAACTGACTCTGGTTAAAAAGAAAAGGGATTTATTGAAAGGACCCCACAGCTCAGAGAATCTTTAGAAAGGCAGGAATGAAGGCCGACTGGCAGCAGGACCAGCCCTCAACCCTTCAGAAGCCTTCTACTGTAGATGCCACCACTCTCTGGACACCAGCACCAGCACCACCCCTGAGAAGCAGATGCTGCTGCCATGAGCCCAACAATGAGGTCTCCGTGTCCCAGGTCCTTTCCATCACTCACTCCATACTCAAAGTCTCAGGGAAAGGCAATGACCATCCTAAATGACTGTTATACCCACACTGCCAACAGGTGATACCAGGAAACAGTATCTCTCCTCCTTGGCTTCTGTTGCAGGCAGTGGGCCCTTGTGCTAAACAAAGCTAATTTAACATGTATTTCCCCAATTTAACAGGGAATTCCCCAAAAGCTAATTTAACAGGTATTTCCCCATAATTTAACAGGGAATTCCCCAAACATGAAAAGGCCCAGATGCTGGGCAGGCAGAGAAAAGCCAAATGTCCATCATGGTGTTACTGGAGCCCGTGAGATAGATGACTGAGCCAGCCGGCCTTGCAGGAGCAGTGACAACTTCCCAGAGGGGTGCTGTCCAAACTGAATACTGAAGGGCTGGCTACAAGGATAAAGCGACAGAGGCATGTGAGAAGAGGGATGACACATTTCTCTTTTTAAAACTATTTTTTTCTAAACGTTTTATAGTTTTATTTTAGTTTAGCTCACGATGATCCATTTCCAGTTAATTTTTGTGTAAGATGTGAAGTTTAAAAAAAACTTTTGAGTGTGGTTGTGCGTGTGAATGTACTTTTGGTGTGTGTGATGTGGTGATTTCTGGATGTCTAATTGCCCCAGCACCATTTGTTGGAAAGGTTATCCTTCCTCCAAGGAATTGCTTTTGCACCTTTGTAAAAGATCAGTTAGGCATGTTTGTGGGTTATATTTCTGGGATCTCTATTCTGTTCTATCGGTCTATGGGTCTGATCCATCTCTCCACCGGTACCACACTGTCTTGATTACTATAGCATTAGAGTAAGCTCTTTTATCAGGGTATGTAATTTATTCGTCTTCCTCAACACTGTTTAAGCTATTTTAGGGCTAGGACCATTCCTTATAAATTTTAGAATAAGTTTGTCTATTTCTACAGAAACCTTACTGGGATTTTAGTAGGAATTGCATTAAACGTACAGATCAATTAGGGGAAAACTGACAATTTACCATATTGTGTCTTCTATTCCATTAACATTTACCTAGATTTACAATTAGATTTTCACTTACATTTACACTCATTTAGCTTTTCATTGATTTCTGATTTGCTATCTTTCCTCATTTCTTTTCTTTTTTTTTTTTTAAAGATTTTATTTATTTATTTGAGAGAGAGCACATGAGAGGGGGGAGGGTCAGAGGGAGAAGCAGACTCCCTGCCGAGCAGGGAGCCCGATGTGGGACTCGATCCAGGGACTCCAGGATCATGACCTGAGCCGAAGGCAGTTGCTTAACCAACTGAGCCACCCAGGTGCCCCATCTTTCCTCATTTCTAATGTAAGCATTTATTGCTGTAAATTTCCCTCTGAGCACTGCTTGAGCTACATCCCACGTATAGTTTATTTTTATTGTCATTCAGTGGAATGTATTTTTTCATTTCCTTTGGGACTTCTTCTGTGACCCAGGGCTTATTCAGAAATGCGTTAATTTTCAAATAGTTAAGAGATTTTCCTTTTGTTTCTATTATTTATTTCTAGCTTGATTCCATTATGGTCAGAGAACAACATTATGATTTCAATTCCTGTAAACCCACTGAGATTTGTTCAGTGGCCGAGGACATGGTCTGTCTTGGTCAATGTTCCACAGGCACTCGAAAACATATGTATTCTGCTGTTGCTGGGTAATATGTTCTATATCTGTCAATCAGATCCTATTAGTTAATTGTGTTGCTCAGATTTTCTATATCCTTGTGATTTTCCGTCAAATAGTTCTAACAGACGCTGAAAGGGGTTTCAAAGTCCCCAACTATAGGGGTGCCTGGGTGCCTCAGTCGGGTAAGCGTCTGACTCTTGGTTCCGGCTCAGGTCATGATCTCAGGGTCATGAGATCGAGCCCCATGTCAGGCTCTGCACTCAGCAGGGACTCTGCTTGAGATTCTCTTCTCTCCCTCTGCCACTCCCCCACTCACACCTGAGCTCTTTAAAAAAAAAAAAAAAAGTCCCCAACTGTAACTGTGACTTTTTATTTTTTAAGATTTTTCCATTCAACTATGTCAGTTTTGAGCCTCCAATGTTTGATGTATACACATTTAGTGTGGATTATCCTTTTATTATTATGAAATGTCATTCTCTGTCTCTAGTATGTTTCCTCGCTCTGAGGTCTACTTAATCTGATATTGATATAGGCAATCCTGCTCTTTGGGTTATTGTCATGGTATGTATCTTTCTATCATTTTACTCAACCTACCCATGTCACTCTCAAATAAATAAATAAAATCTTTAGAATATTTACATTTGAAGCAATCACTAATACATTAGTCCTCAGGTCTGCTATTTTCTTATTTGTTTCCTCTCATTCTCATACCCATTACTCTTTTCTTGATTTCCTGCAGGTTACTTAAACATTTTTAGTATTCCATCTTAATTTATCTTATGGTGCTTTTTTTTTCCTTTTAGGGTATCCCTTTGTAAACATCTGTCGTAGTTTTTGGTAGCTCTTTGTATAGTTTTTGTAGTAGTTACTCTAAGTCTTACATATATACAGGACTTATGTATATACTGTATATATATGTACACTTACATATATACATGACTCTCAGAGTCTGCTCTATTAACATTTTATACCTCAAGTGAAGCATGGAAACATCACTTCCATTCCCTTTAACTTTTCCTCTTTTAAATTAAATATCATTGCTCTGAGTATTACATGGTATTTTAATTTTTGTTTCAATCATCAAATACGATTTCTAAGAATCATGAGGAAAATGATCATCTCCTTGCACATACCCATGTTTCTGATCTTTCCATCATTCTTCCTGACTTTGTGTTCCAATAATCTTTCTTTTATCATTTCATTAGAAGAACTTCCTTTAGCCAATTTTTAAGGGCAGATCAACGAACAACAAATTCTTTGCTCTCTTTCATGTATGTCTTTATTTAATCTTCATTCAGGAAGGACAGTTTTGCCAGATACCGAAGTAATGGTCATCAGGTATTTTCTTTCAACATTTGAAAAATGTGTACCACTTCTCTCTGGCCTCC